TGCTAGAATGTAACATGCTTACTCTTCTACCAAGATGAGACAAATATGTAGTGCAGTATAATATTTAATGATATTTTAATGTGGTTACAAGTATTGATATCTCTTGAATAACAGCTGGATCAGCTTTAATGAAAATTTAAAGTCTTGAAATAGTTCTGTCCTTTTCATGATAAATATCTATAGTTTTTCATTTGAGAGCTAAACCATAAATACAGGACACTCGGAATTGTGTCCATAGCATAATGAGTAGTGGATATCTTCACAAAATGGCAAATACTATGAGAATTTTCACCAAAGCAATGTCCATTCTGAGCGTCCTCTGGTCAGCACTGAGTCTGCAGCTCCACATCACATTTGCCTCTCTCCTTGGGAAGGGGAGCTGCAATGGACAGGAAATGCCCACTTTTTTACTTGGTTGATCTGTGAATCTTAATGATTAAGTAGGTTGTACATATTTCTGACACATTTTTTTCATGCAGATAACTTTGGGGTATCAAATTTCAGGTGTATAGAAGCTTTGTGCGGCTTTATTTCCTGTGGCAAATTTTCAGAGTTAATATTTTCTTGGATGAAATGAGTTATCATAATTTTCTTTATTCATATTTGGTTTATGGCACCTTGGGTTGAAATCTTTCCATGTTGGTGAAGTTCATGTTTGTTGTTTCACCTTCACGCTGACTAATATCATAACTCTTGTTAGAGATCATAATGGGAAAAATATCAATCAGCACTCTTTAGTGAATATGGGAGGAATAATGACATTCTCATTCCAGGCTGGCCACACTTCCTTCCTTCCCTCATTCATTTGTTCAGTCTTTCTCCAGTGTATATTTATGGAGCATCAAATCTCTACTGGCCGTAATAGCAGCCACTCTGCATACATCACAGGTTATAACTGAAATAGTTTATGTCCTCATGGAGCTTAAGATCAAGTGTAGAAACCACAAAACAAGTAAGTTAGTAACTAAAACCATGGTAAATATTGTAAAGTAAAAACAGCAATCAAATACGAATAGCTTTGCAAGATCCATTAGGCTCCTGCTGTTGTCCTCCCTTATAAAATAGAAATCTGTGGGTTTCTTTCTTTCTTCTTTTTTTTTCTTCTTCTTTTTGAGACTGAGTCTTGCTCTGTTGCCAGGCTAGAGTACAGTGGTGCAATCTCAGCTCACTCCCGGGTTCAAGAGATTTTCCTGCCTTAGCCTCCCAAGTAGCTGGGACTACAGACACATGCCACCAGTAATCTGTGGGGTTTTGGGGGTGTCTCTTTTATAGGGCAGTCTCCATCTTTCTGCCACTGAAAGAAAATGACATTGTCATTTGTCACCCCAGGCACAGGAGCTGCATGTCCAGAGTGTGGCACCATCACAGGCTCTTGCGCTGCAAGTGCTTCCTGGTGGCCTGTGCCAGAGCTCAGAGAGGCACAAACGAGGGTGGAGGCAGGAGCATGGGGCCACCAAGTGCATGCCCTGAGGCTGATTCTAGATGCAGTGGGGAAAGCAGAGTGAGTGTGCTGGGGAGATGCGGGTGAGAGAGGTCTAGAGGAAGCTGCAGGAGTGCAGGATGGCAGGGGCGGGTGGATGAGAACTAGGCGAGCTGTGGGTGACAGGGAAGGAGAGATGCCATCATCGGCACTGGGATTATGGTGCTGCTGACCCTTAGACAAGGTCACAGGAGGTGGGACATGCTGGTAGGCCACATGGAGAGTCAGGTAGGCCTGTCAAGTTTCTGATGTCTCCAGTCCCTAGAGGTTTAGTTGCAGATACAGAGTCAACATTCAGCAGTAAGATCCCAGCTTTGAAGACAGACCCAGGTGTGATCATGAGGACAGGGGAGGAGAAGGCTGTGACAACAGATGAGGGCATGCAGAATTTCAGAGCAAGGGCAGGACACAGGCAGGGGAGGAAAAGCTTCAAGGAGACAGGAAGGGTCCCTGTGTGCTGACCCCGATGCAGAGGGAAGGGGGAACTGTGGAGGGGACTCATCACATGACCAGATGCTCCAGGGAGTGAAGGAGACAGCAAGGTCATGCATTGTGGACCAGCATGCAAGCCCACTCAGCACTTTGCTCTAAAATGCTAAACCCTATAGTTTTGTTAGTTCCCACCAGCTGGAAAATCAGACACAAGGTATACAGAAATATGCAGTGAAACTTTATGATTGATGATGGCTCATTCTTTTAAGTCAAATTATCACAGATATTTAAAAAGTTGATACTTTCCACAATTGCTTAAGAATTTGAAATACCTAGGAGCATATTGACATTTAGACTCTTGTTCATTTGTGCAGGTTTCTCAGATTTATAATCATTGATGAGATAAACAATAAATAGCATGGAGTCTTTGTAAAACTCTCGGATAGCCTACAGTTCTGTAAACTCTGTTTCCTATGCCACGCTAGGCTGGTGAACAAATAGGGTGACAGTGGTCACAGCACAGTGATTCTCCAGCTGGCTCTCCCACTCTAGGCAGCCCGCCTCACCCCTGAACTTCTGTGGAAGCTCCTGTTTCACCCAGGGGTCTCTCACATAAGCTTTCCCAGGAGCCCTGCTGCCCCTGCCTCCCTCTTAACCTATGGCTCAGATGATGTCACTTGCTGCAATGATGTCCCAAAGGCAGCCACAGGCACCATGCCCATCACAGCTCCATAGGAAGGCAGGCACCTCACTCTGCTCGTACCTCATAGGGACCTCCTTGCAGAGTCTTGTGGCGACACATTTGTGCTGAAGTCACCTTCCCTGAAGCCCCATCTTGTTCCTGTTAGTTCCTCAGTGTTGTGTCAGTTTACTGATCCTTCGCTCTACCACAGGCAGAGAGACCTAAGAATCGCTGAGGTTGAATTTTTTAACAAGCTTGTAAACTGTGATCTCCAAGTCAAAATTAATTTGAATTATATAATTAAGTCATACATTTTTTCTTGCATGCTCACATCTGTGAACTGTGAATGTGGGAAAATGCTTGCCTGTCTATGCCATAGCTGTCTCTTTCTTTTCTCTCTCTCCTTCTCTCTCTTTTTTGCCCTTAACCTTTTATATAAGCACAAATACATACTCTTTCCTCTAAGATCATTTTAAAATCTTCCCAGCATGTAGTATACTTCAGTGTATGCTTTATCTTTTCCAAAAGTAACATATTTAATCAGTTAGCTTAAAAGAAAAGCAAGCAATTGTTTGCCAATACTGTATACGTGATTATTCAGCCAGTTTCTAATCAGAAAATGTTCACTGGAGATGTTTCAGATATAAAGTAAATTCAGACTAATACATGTCTGCGTATGTATTTTTTAAAACACAAATAGACTCCATGAGACTTTGATAGAAAGAGAAAAATGGAAAGTATTTTCTATCCAAGGTCTTTTGCAATTAATTGCTTGATAGGAGGCCTTGAAGTCAAAGATTCTTGACTACTTCTGATTCCAGAATAACATCTTAAACTCATTTTCTGTGTTTGTAAAATAAGAATTATGATGTTTTGAAACTCAGGGTTGTGGAAGGTTTTATTCAGTCAGGACCTTCAGAATGATTCCAGGTACTTGCATGGATCTCTGAGGGGCTTCCAGAAGGCTGGATTCCATGCCTGGGATTTGCAGGCTGGCAGCAAGGGGTTGGGGACTGTAGCACAGGTCACCTGGGAGGGCAATGTGGGTTTCAAGTGTGTGCCCCCTCTACACAGAGGTGCTGGCCATGCTGTCCCCGCCACCCTCCCACTGGCATGCTGAGAAGACCCTGCTCCGCACCCCTCATAGCTGGGAAGGCTGCGTGGTTCAGGGGTCGCTCACCCTCCAGCAGTGCTAGTGGTCAAGCATATAAATAAGTGCACAGAAACACCCAGGGAACAGAAAGCCTGGAGTGCAGAGGGCTTGAACAGATCAGAAATTGATGTTCAGAAGCATAGGAAAGAAGGTTTAGAGGACTCGAGTCCAAGAAAATCATCCCACAGAGCAAGCACTAGAAGGAAAGAAGACACTGTAGATAGAGAGGGAGGGAGAGGGAGGACAAGAAGGAAGAGGGGGCATCATTGTTGTCCTGGACATTTGAAGCTGACCATTGTGGGAAGTAGGAAAGTTCTTCTTTAAAGTTTCTTTCTTATTAGAGAATAAATCGTAACTGTGCTAATAACTCTTTGTTAAGCCATATCCTATGTAGCTGTTAGACATGACTTGATTACAGGCACATAGTATATTCTATGTCCCTGTACTTTAACCAAGGTATCTGTGTTGGACGTGCTCACAGGTATGTCCCAGCTCACATTCTATGTCCCTTTCTTATTCGGACTTCCTTTGTTTGCTCTCCCGTGCTTTTACCTTTTTAGAAAAGTTTCAAGTTATCAGCCAATCAGGTTTTAGTTTAGATTATGAGGTCTGGCTCCAGCCAACGGAGATCAGACACAGCAGTGAGGACAACCAACCCTAAATGCATAAGGAATAAATATGTCTGTTCATTTGCTCATTGTACTCTCTGGCAAGATAGCTAGCAAGAGTGCCCTTCCAGCAGTCCAGGAATCAAAAGTTGCGTTGCTGAAAGATCCTTTGTCTCAGTGCAGATTTTTCTTTGTGGCACCGAACATCGGTTTCCAACACCCATCGTGTTGTGTTTTCCTCACCCTGCTGGGCAGCAAAGTCAGCACCTCTGACACTAAGAATCTAAAATTGTCTTTCGAGGGTCTCTCTCTCTCCTGATGTCCTCCACGGGATGACAGGAAGCTTGCCACGTTGAGCTCTCCATCCCTAGACTTGGAACTGGAAGGGTCTAATCATAGATGATTAGTCCTCATCATTTGCTACATGAGTGCATCATTTTAAAAGATACTGGCGCCTAGCCCCCACATCCAGTGCAGCTGACCTAACTGATCTGCAGTGGGGCCCAGGTGTACTGTTTTTGAAGGATGCTCAGATGGCTTTCCTGGCTGGAGATCCACGGCTGCCTACATGGCACTCTGTTTAACCAGGGATTGGTTTGTGAGACCCTCTGACCTTGTTTCCTTCTCATCCTGTGGCCTTCGTAGATCACGGCACCATTAAGAAAGTGCGGGCACCCATGAATCAGACCTCGAGCAGCTGTTTGCTGGAAGAGATTGAGCTCTTCCCTGAGAGGCGGAGGGAATCCATCAGGAGCTTGCAGATCCTGCACAGCCAGAGCGTCCTGTTCGTGGGCCTGCGGGAGCACGTGGTCAAGATCCCCCTGAAGAGGTGCCAGTTCTACCGTACACGCAGGTAGGGGCATCTCTGTGGTCAGGATGTACTGGTGTGTGTGTGAAGGGCCCACTGGAGAGAGCCTGGGGGGCTTCAGACACCCTGAAGCTGGATGGCCTCAGAGCTGTCCTTCATGCCTGGGAGAGTCCTGTGCCTAAGATGCAGAGCTTTTGTGAAAATAGATTCACAGTGATGAGAGCAACCCACCAGCTCTCTTCAGAGGAAGAGCCACATTATAATATCTGCAAGCAGTTGTCAGGGTTAAAATAAATTGTTCAGTGCCTTAGAATATTCAGTGATAATACTGGTATTTGGTGACTGTATTAATCTGTTAATCTGGCAAATTGGTTAATTTGGCACAAGCATAGGTGTACATCTATATCTATCTATACATATATATTGGGGGGAGGCGGAGTCTCACTCTCTTGTCCAGGCTAAAGTATAGTGGTGTGATCTTGGCTCATTGCAACCCCTGGCTCCCAGGTTCAAGTGATTTTCGTACCTCAGCCTCCCGAGTAGCTGGGACTATAGGCATATGTCATGACACCTGGCTAATTTTTGTCTTTTTAGTAGAGACAGCGTTTCACCACATTGGCCAGGCTGGAGTTTTTGAACTCCTGACCTCAAAAATGATCTGCCCACCTCAGCCTCCCAACATTCTGGGATTACAGGCTTGAGCCACCACACCCAGCCTCAAGCTTGTATTTTATTTGAATACAGACATGATAAAAAATATTATACAGCATACATCCTTCTTGACAAAAGCTCTTATGCTGATAATCCCTTGAGAAGAAGGAACAATTGATGTTGCTGCAGTGGCATCCACTTTCTGAGACACCCCCACACCGCTGTCCTTGGCACCAGCTCCCCTAGAGTGCTGCTTCTCTCCTGAGGCTGCAAAGAGTGTAGGGAGGGAGGCCTCCCAGGCACAGGAAACCGGGTGTCATCGCATCTTCCCTCACCCTCGGGCCAGTCTTAGCTCCCGTGGGACATCCACGACTGACCACAGGTGGGTTTAAAGATTAATTGGGAAACATGTTGGCCCAGGTGCTTAGGAAATGGGTAAGTGCGATATATATCGTACGCGTGACCAGCACTTCAATGTGCGGAATCGTGTATACACTCTGACCCTGAAAAAAGATTGTCCTTGGGGAAATCTTAATTTTAAATGCTCTTAGGCATCTTATTGAATTCCCCTCCCTACAGCAGGGTGTAATTAGAGATTTGGGGTAGAAATAGTCCTTTTTTATATGTCATTCACAAACATCTACCACACACGGGGCACTCTCTCTTAAAGCAAGGTGCCTAATGACACTGGCTTTGGGACTTAGAATTCGGGGTTCATGGTGCAAATCTGTTGTGGCTCACTGCAGCCTCCTCCTCCAGGGTTCGAGTGATTCTCCTGCCTCAGCCTCCCAAGTAGCTGGAATTACAGGCATCACCATGCCCGATGTTTGTATTTTTAATAGAGACAGGATTTCACCGTGTCGGCTAGGCTTGTCTCAAACTCCTGACCTCCAGTGATCCGCCTGCCTCTGCCTCCCAAAGTGCAGGGATCACAGGCACAAGCCACCACGCCCCGCAGCGTTGTTGCTATTTCTTGATCCAGGTCACAAAAGTATTTCAGAATTCACTTTCTCACCCAACATGTGTGAACTGCTATAGAATCAAATAGGATAATGTATAGAGTACAAAATTTAAAGCAGTCTGCAAAGTGAGTATTATTAGGTAGAAGGAAGGTTTTTATGTGTAACCACAATATGCCTTTCAAGGTGATTCTAGAAAATGAAGTCTATAATATAATGTCTCCTTTGAAATGAGAGAGCATTGAGGAATAATGCGAGAAACCTCCCAGCTAATCATAATGCTACCGTGAGCCTTAACAACAGCTAGTGATATTTATTAACTGCCATTCTTATATATGCCTGCTTCCTAAATTTAACCACTGGGTGCTTGAAATTTGTTCTGGTTTGTGTTTCCTGCAGAACTAGCTTAGGGAAGGAATTATTCTTACCTGGTTGCTGTTGGTTCCGTGGGTGACAGGGTTGGAGTCTGACCAACAGGATGTCATAGCTAGAATACATTTTTTTTTGAGACGAAGTCTCACTCTGTCACCCTGGCTGGAGTACAGTGACATAATCTTGGCTCACTATAACCTCCACCTCCCAGGTTGAAGTGATTCTCCTGCCTCAGCTTCCTGAGTAGCTGGTTACAGGCGCCTGCTACTACACCCAGCTAATTTTTTTGTATTGTTAGTAGAGATGGAGTTTCACCATGTTGGCCAGGCTGGTCTCAAACTCATGATTTGCCCACTTTGGCTTCCCAAAGTGCTGGGATTACAGGTGTGAGCCACCGTGCCCAGTCGTGATTTTTTTTTTTTAACTAAAGCAATTTTAATCTCCTAGAAACCTGCTTAAAGAAGTACACTAAATAGGAATAGGAAAACAATTGGTAAGAATTGGATACTAATTTCTCTACCAGTATACTTTCCATCATAGAATCTCAGTAATGCCATTTATCATTGGAAAACAGGTCTTATAAGTGAATCTTTGAGTATTTAAAAAGGGAAACTAAGCTTATCGAAATTACCTGTTTCCTTCAAAATCACATTTAAATGTTTAATTTTCTTGAGTCTGTTTTTCAAAGACAATGCATGATGACATTTATTAAAATGTATATAAATGATAACTGTTACAATTTTACAAATTTATTTTATGTATCTGATACTGGGCTAGATTTTGTGAGATTTTGGTTGAATTATTATGTCAACCCTGAAAGTAAAGTAGCATACTATATCCACTGTTCAGATGAGGAAATGGCAACGCAGATTTTTGGTGTCCTGCTCAAGGTCACATAGCTACTGCAACATGAGACCTGGTGTCCTGCTCAAGGTCACATAGCTACTGCAACATGAGACCTGAGTCAAAGCCAAGACTGCCCTATGGCCATGGTTGTATTACTGGTTCTTTCTGCTGCCCCTGGTACAATGAGGACCACCCATTCAGTGGTCAGATTTCAGCTGGAGGAGATGCTGGATTGCACTTTCCATATGTGCAACTGAGAGGCGGAACTGGTTAGTACCTGGACAGGCAGAAGCCAGGTCTCATGGGAGATGCTCACCCCTCCTTCCTGTGAGCCTGGTCCTCATTCTGCTTGCTGTCAGACCAGATCAGGTAAACATGAAGGAGGTTTTGTATCTGTTTTTCCAAGGCTTTCTAAGATGCGTCTCCATTGTCTAGTTGTTCTCAAGGAGATCCTGGGACCTCAGGGGTGGGGGTAGGGAGTAGTGACAGAGCACCTGCCTGTACTGACCACGCATGTGCTGTGACTGATCAGAATACAGCATTGTTCTTTTGGAAAGTTATTTTCAAAGATCAATGTTTCAAAATTATATTTTAGTCAACTTTGACCTCAAATATGAGCAAAAAATTTTGATGTTAGCATTTTTTTTGGCACGGCCATTTAATAGATAGAGCGAGAAAGTCATGCAAAAGATAAAGCTAACTCATTGGAATTGGTGGTGCTCTCTGGGGATTTAGAGTGCATGAGAAACTGTATTATTCATGCACATCCTTTTTTATTTTGGGCTTTATTGATCACATCTGTGTATAAGTTGCATAAAGTGAGTTCACATTCACTGATTCCTGAGGAATTCGGGGATCTAGGAAGGCTCAGATATGAGTACGGTGTATAACAGGAAGACAGGAAAGCTGACCCCATCCTGAGGGCCATGGCGCACACCTGGCTCACCATCCAGTAGCATCATGTAGTCTTTAAAGTGGGGAAAGGCTGGAAGTGGTGACTCACACCTGCAACCCCAGCACTTGTTGAGGCTGAGGCAGGAGGATCGATTGAGGCCAGGAATTCAAGACTAGCTTGGGCACCATGGTGAGACCCATCTCTATAATAAATCAGTTAATTAATTAAGTGGAAAATGTCTCCGTAAAAAGGCGCAGGATGGAGCAGCCAAGAGCACCACTCACTGACTTCCGTCTGGTGTAATCACCAAAAGGGGTGTCAGAACCTGCTACCCTGTAGGGTTCCCACCTCCATACTTCAGCCGGAAAAGAGCAGCCACAGGACTTGTGCTCTAATCATCTTGTCTAGAAATCAGGCTGTTATTTTCTCCCACAAAAAAATACTATAGGCTTCCAAGTAGTATGACTGATTGTACCTCTTCAAGGCTAGGAATAACAAGCTTAGAGATGTGGTGATGGGAGGGCAGCTGATGTGGACTTTTAAAATTTAGTTTCTTTTTCTTTTTGAGATACCGTTACCCAGGCTGGAGTGTAGTGGTGTGATAGTTCACTGCAACTTCTGCCTTCAGGGTTCAAGCAATTCTCCTGCCTCAGCCTCCCGAGTAGCTGGGACTACAGGTGTGCTCCAGCAGATCTGGCTAATTTTTGTATTTTTAGTAGAGATGGGGTTTCACCATGTTGGCCAGGTTGGTCACCCGAGGTCTCGAACTCCTGACCCCTAGTGATCCGCCTACCTCAGCCTCCCAAAGTGCTGAGATTATAGGCATAGGCCACCATGCCCAGCCCTGAGGTGGACTTTAAAGACATTTTAAGGACTGTGCATTGAGTAGATCAGCAGGTTGGCAAACTTTCTTTGCCAGAGCCAGAGAGAAACTATTCTAGGCTGCACAGGTGTCCAGTCTCTGTTGCAGCCACTCAGCTCTTCCCTTGCAGTGTGAAAGCAGCCACAGACCATAATGATTGGGTAGATGTGTGGGTCAAGCAAGGCTGATGTATTTGGTGAGAAAAGTGTGATCCACTTTTAGATCTAGACAGTTCGTTACTGAGCCAAAGAAAGAGCAGAAAAGGAGTCAACTCGCCACATCCCTTGTCCTACAGGATGACATCAAAACAAAAAGGGCAGCCAGGCGCGGTGGCTCATATCAGTAATCTCATCACTTTGGGAGACAGAGTGGGCAGATCACTTGAGGTCAGGAGTTCGAGACCAGCTTGGCTAACATAGGAAACCCTTTCTCTATTAAAAATAACAAAAATTAGCTGGGC